CCCCAAAACCCCAAAACCCCAAAACCCCGTGATATCCCAATCAAGTAATCTTGGTATTAAGATTATTATCGAAAGATATTTAATATTAGCTTCTTCAAGATATTGCTTTTTCAATGAATTTTTTAATCATCTTAACTCATTCAGTTTTTGTCTATTTAGATTATTATTCTATCTTAGCGTAATGCTTATAGTAATCTTTATTCCATTCAAATATAATGTCCCAGAAAATGAATGATCCACTGTAATTACCAACATTGTGACTGTGATGAAAATCATGATATCTTGCTGTAGCCATGAATGGTAAAAGATCTGAGAATACCCAATCAAATTCATATCCTGAGTGACCATAAACTGTATTAGCTACTCTGTATACATTCCAAAGCAAATAAGTGAAGGCATGCATTTTTCTTCCGAGAATCAAGCATGGAATAGCGAATGGAATTGAATTTCCAAACACAAACTCAATAGGATGAGCGTATTCAGCACAGATTCCAATCGATATATTGTATTGATGATGCTATTTGTGAACCCTTTTGTAAAAGAAAGGGATATGGAGTAACCTATGAGACAGAGTAAATAAAAAATCTTCTAGCAACATGCAGAAAGTAGTTTGAAGGAAGAATGTTTTAGCATCTGGAAGCTCTTCAATCTCGAAAGAGTAAGTGCTCTCAGTTCCAAATATTTAGGCTTACATCAACACCAAGCTAGGAATAATGACGAAATTATTCAGAAATATAACTTTCAAAGTCTTATTGAGTTACTTTCTCCACTCTTTTTAATTTACCTTCCAAGGCCAAGGTTCATTATGAACCCTGCTTCTCTCAAATATTTTCCATTCTAGTTTATAGATCAAACAAAAGCATAAGTTGATGAAAAAATACCAAGTGCAGTTAAATAGCCAAGTAAAGTAAAAGATAAACTTCCATCTCTCTACTTCATATTAAGCAATGAAATTTAATGCGATTGGCCAAATGAATCTTGCAAATGGTGGCACAAACTTAAGTAGCAATAATCCCCAAACTATACCGAATATCAAACCTAATCCTCGATCTGAATATCTTTTCAACTCTCTTTACAACAATGTGCTTATTGTGATCTTTTCCATTTATCAGATATATCTTCAATAAAACTTTAAATTTTACGTTTTTTCTATTCAAGATTCAGCTTAAAATGATGACTTATGGGGTTTTGGGGTTTTGGGGTTTTGGGG